CAGCTACTCAGGAGGCTGAGGCAGTAGGATTGCTTGAGCCCAGGAGTCTGAGGTTGCTGTGAGCTAGGCTGACGCCACGGCACTCACTCTAGCCAGGGCAACCAAGTAAGACTCTGTCTCAAAAAAAAAAAAAAAAAAATAGCAATTTAAAAAATAAAATTAAACAAAACAAAATCAAACAAGAAATAATTCACCTCTTCCTTTCTAATTCTGATTCTTCTAACTGTGTCTGACTGCAGTGGCTAAAACCTTCAATACAGGGTTAAACAGAAGTGAAGACAGTGGTCATCTGTGTCTTTTCCCTGATTTGCACGGAATGCATTCACTGTTTCTCCGTTAAATTAAATGCTGGCTTTTGGACATTGTCATCCTGAAAACTTATCCATTTATTAAGTGTCTTAGGTATCAGAAATGGGTTCTGGATTTTGTTGAAGGCCTTTTGCCATCCATGGAAATGATCACATGATTTTTCTTCTCATTTCAACTCAAATGATAGATTATATTCTTTTAAACGACACCATAAAAACAGGCAAACTCTTCATTTTGAGGTCTGTTTGCAGGGAAGGGTGGGCCTTTACTGGGTGAGCAAAACGACAGCTACCAAAGTGTCCAGTGCCCTTACGGAGATCTGGCCAGTGAACCAGATTTGAAGTTCATTGTCAAGAGAAGCAGGCACATCTTTCTCTTTCCTCCTGAACCTCTGGTTTCCTTCATTAGGCTGCCCACAAATGTGCCAGTGATGATACTATCTCTACAGAGCAAATTCAGACAAGACGCTTACAGGTCATGAATGTTTGTGTTCTGCCATGACCCGCCCCAGCTGCAAAGGAACGGTGATTTGAAAAAGCCTCCACAGCTCGCCCAGTGTGAGGCGAGACTCTTGAAAGCACGAGGGAAGAAGCGCTGCCCAGAAAGAGGAGGAAGAAAAAGCGTGGGGAGGTCTTCACCAAGCCCAGCACCAAGTGTCCCGGTCACAACGTGGTCATTACTGTGGCAGAATTCAAGCTTGGACGGAAATGAACGAGCTCAGTCCCCGTCAGCTCCACATGTGATCTGCGGAGGCTGGTTGCTGATCAGGGCACAAACGCAGCTGTCCCGGCTCCCCACCACGAGCTAGCGCGGCGAGGGCAAGCACAGCAAATAGTTCTCCTATTATTTCAGGATGTTTACAGACTGACGCTTGCTGAGGAAACGTCCACACGCGAGCAAGTCATCTTTTTTTTAAACCGCTTATCTAAGTCACTCAAACCCATAATAGTGTTCATTCATTCGAAACACATTTCCTGAGTGGCTATGACACAACTGGACAGATGCTCGCCGAGCCTGTGCTACATCCCGGGCTTGGTGCTGGCGCTGTGGATCCAGCGCGGGACAGAGGCGGACTCCGGTGTCAGGGGCTCGCTATCTAGTGCGGGAGACGGGCAGTCAGAACGAAGGGAGATTGCTGATCAAAGGGAGGGGCTTCTCCAGATTAAAACAGGCATAAAAGCACTAACAACTGAAAGCAGCATAGAGATTGGATCCTGATTCCAACCAACCAACTACAAAGGTCATTTTTGAGATGATCAAGGGTATCTGAATATGGATAGGTAATACCAGAGTTACTGTTGATTGTTCCATGCAATAACGGAAATGTGGTTATGCAAGAAAATGTCCTTTTTAAAAGGGATGTATACTGGGCTATTATAGGGGCAAAATGACATAACATTAGAGATTTGCTTTAAAATATGTCAGGAAGAACAGAGGCAGGGAGTCGGGGGGAGGGGGTGGAAACCAGCCTGGTATAATCTTGACAACTGTGGAAGCTGGGTAATGAGTATATGGGGCCCATTATACTGCTCTATTTTTGTGTGTTTGAAAATGTTCATAATATTTTTTTATTAGAGGTCTGCAATACATCATGGTAGAAAGCCTAATGGAGACTGGTATAAAAGGCTAAGGGAACATAGAGCAAAGAGCAAGGAGGGTTTGTGAGAACCAGAAAATAAATCTGCCAAGTTTATGAGCATTTTAAATGCCATTTCATAGTGGGGTGAGAAGACATGTTCACAGATAATTACAATATAAGGTGTGGACTAGTAAGTATAGTAGTCCCCCCTTATTTCAGGGGGGTACGTTCTAAGATCCCCAGTGGATGTCTGAAACCTCAGATAGTACTGAACCTTATATATACTGTTTATATATATTGTTTTTTCCTATACATACAGGACATATGATAAAGTTCAATTCATAAATTAGGCACAGTAAGAGATTAACGACACTGATAATAAAATAGAACAATTATAACAACATACTGTGATAAAATTATGTGAATGCGGTCTCTCTCTCTCTCTCTCTCAAAATACAGCAATATTTTCAGACCGCGGTTGATTGTCATTGAAACCGTGGATAAGGGGGACTATGGGGCACTATAGTGTACAACGGAGGAGGTGTACATGCCATGCCTCCAGAGGACAGCCGCAGGCTTTCCTGCTTCCCACAGCATTGAGTTCACCACACACAGACCTCGCTCATATGGACAGAGGCCGGAATCCTAGCTGTGTGTTGGGGGACTCAGTTTCCTCTGAGTCTCAGTTTCCTCATCTGTAAAATGGGGACAACCCCACCTATTTCTTCTGAAGGCTAATGAAAAGGCTCGGCAGAGTGAACAGGATTCTCCTGCTTGGCTCTTTGAAGAACAAAAACCATTAGCCCTCAGAGGGCTTCTAAGATTAGCAGTGTTCAGCCCAAATCTTCTTGCACCCATACCACATCCTATCCCTCTAGAGCCAAGGCTCTTCACCAAGAAGGCAGCGCCTCTTCTCTTCAGCAGTAAGGAGCAAAGGGGGCAGGCCCGTGGCCAGGAGGAAAACCCAGCTTAGGGTGTGAACATGGGCGGAGAGAACAGAGAAACACCCCAGCCATAGGCAGAGAAGTAATCGGGGATTATCTGGCTGCTCCTCGCAGCTCCTGGGAATGGGCCTCCAATGGCCACAGCCATGGTCCTTAAACTGATTTATACTGAAGTGTAATTGACTGGTATCAGGCTAATCATGATTTTCTTTTGGAAGAAAGTTTGAGCAGAAAAGCCAGAGCCCTGGGCCTAAAGAAGGAAGGGGGCAAGGATAAAAGTGATGTCATATTTTTATAAAAGTACTTTCAAACTGTGGATTTTAATTACCCCACAACCATAACCAGTATACCCCAATACCTGCTCCTTCCAAAAAAACCCCACAAAACTAGAATCAGTCCTAAGGTAGAGGTTATTTCAGCTAACACTGTCTTCCTAGACTATTCTAGAAGCCAATTCTCAGAGGTGAGGCCAAGCCAACAGTGGAAGCAGGCTTCCCCCCAAAATAGCACCTAAACACCAGCAGCTCATCCCTCCCCATCACAACATGGCCAACACTATCCACCACCCTTGACTGGAGGACAGGGTGGCCAAGGGATTTGTAGGTTAAACAACCTGGGCTAACCTGGGTCAGTTCAACTGTTTTGCCAAAGAAGCATCCCCTGCAATCCGGATGGACAGAATCTTTCAGAGGCCAGGAGGCTCCAGTCAGCACACAGCGGTGCCATGACCCTGCGCACGGCACACCACTTTGTACAGCCGTGAACAGCAGGAAGAGCTCTGGACTGTGCACTGACAGAGCTGGGACCTGGCTCAGACACTTTCTGTGTGACCTTGGGCACTTACCCTATCTGAGCCTCTTTCCCCATCTCTAAAATGGGGAGGGCAAAACTCTCAGAGTTTTTGGAGAGTCACCATGAAATTGGCTGAAGAAGTGCCTCAGGACAGGACCTGTTGCCCAGTAGGCACTTAGTAAATCTGTCTTCTCTCTGCCTGAAGAGTTCTTACTGCAACGAGAGTCTCCGGGACATTGGACTGGGCTGCCCAAGACACTCAAGGCCCACTTGTTGGGTCCACCGCCCCTGGGGAGGGAGCGGCACAGAGGGGGTGCAGGTGCCAGGGAGCCCAGGCACGAAAACGTCCCAGGGTCAACATGCCCCTGGCTTCCCCCACCCCGTGACCCCCGCGGAACCTGCCCACACGGGGGCTTCATCCTTCACCACAATCACCGAAGACCGTAGTGAGCAGGCGAGACTGACAGCAAGAGGACCCGCACACACCGCTGCAGGATAGGCGGGGCCCTGCCCGCTTCCAAATAAAAGCTCTTTCCTCTTTAAGAGCCCAGGCCTCAGAATAAACAATGAGGAAGGAGGCACACGTTTGCTCTGGTTTCAACACCACTCTTCCCCATCCAGTAAAGGCTGATCCCAGCTCTACCGGTGAGGCTGGCCTTGAATAAAGTCAACCCCACCTGCTCTGGCCTGGCAGTGGTGGCAGAGGCTGCGGGTAAGACCCCACTTCTCCTCCGGGCCGGCCAGGCAACGACAGGGTGGGCTCCGGGGACGCAGAAGGACCACCGCCACGGCCCGCCCCGGCCCCAGACTCGATCGCAGCCTGCAGCCGGCCAGGCCACTGACATTTGGCCCGACTTAACTTCCTGTTATTAAGGAGGGAGGGGAACAAGGGAGGGGTAAAAGGGCGCCCAGTGAAGAGCGGGGCGGGGGGAGCGGGGGGCGAAAGGCGCGGGGCGGGAATCCTGGGAAGCTAAGTTTGGGGATTTGGGGATGGTCCTCTGCCCAGTGGCAGGCGGCACTGCTGGTGCGTCACTCCCACTCCGTGTTGACATTTAGGATTTTCTAGGCTTGGAATTGCAGGGTTTGGGTGTTGGGGCGGAGTAAGGGGTAGCTCGGGGTGCCAGTGGGACGCTTTTATTGCTTTCTAATTGATTCAGAGATGCCAGGGCCGCCCCGGGCTCTCCAGCAGCGCCACCTGCTCCCTGCGCGCCCCGCGGGTGGGTTTGAAGCCGGGGATGCTGCAGCCGCACCTGACCCTCCCGGGCGCCGGACCGGGCGCCGGACAGAGCGCAGAGTCCAGTCGGGGCTGGCACAGTCTCCACCCGCGCCCGCTCGCCCGCCGCCCTCCCCGGAGCCCCGCGCCGCCCCCGCCTTACCGAAAGTCGCGCGGGCCGCCAAGCCGAGATCGGTGCCTGCCTCCGCCCTGGCCACGGGCGAAGCGGTCGGGCCCTGCGGGCAGCCTGCGGAGCCGGCAGCGAGCGCGGCTGCCCAGCGCAGGCTAAGCCGGCCGAGCGCCTGAGGTTCTGCGCTGCGCGGTGGACAGGGCTGGGGAACGCCCCCAACGGAGGCGCGGCCAATGACAGCGCAGCGTGGAGCCCGCCCCGCCCCTGTGGGGCCGGCTGTCACTGCCACTGCCGGCGCACGTGGGCTGTAGCCCGGCCCAGGGCGCAGGGAGCGCCCAGGCGCTCCCACCCGACCGGGGCAGGTCGGAGACCAGAGGAGGGCCCATGGGAGCGGGACGTAGTGGCGCTGCGAGATGAAAACCCTGGTGTTGGTATGCTGGTGTCAAGGGAGAGGCAAGGGCTGGGCCTCATGCTCCTTTGCCTAGGCAGCTGGAAAACACCTTTTAGACACCAGGGAGCAGCAGGCACTTCCAGCATCGACTGTGTGCGCCCTATGGACCGCCCTCCTTGCTTGGCTCCATGGCCTCCCTGAGCTTCAGTGAACCTCCCTGCTAGCAGATAGGATCGTTCCCTTACCTGCACTGGCCTTGCTTAGGATAAAGATCGTGGGGAGAGGGCGGTGGTGCAGACCACCTGTGTTACCTTGGTCAAATCACCCAAACACTCTCTTCTCTTGGCTGTCAGGTGGCTACCTTAATCTCTACTCTGCCCACCTTTCCAGTTGCCCACAGCCCGTTAGTCTCAAGAGAGCACTATTCACAGACAACACAGTGAATGGTGCGGGGCCTAGTGAGGGATATGAAGCACTTGTAAACTTTATAAATAACTGTAAAACACCGCTCTGGTAGCAGTGACAGATCTGGTAGCAGCGATCACGAAACAGGGATCCCCATGGGCAGGAGCCACGTCTGACTCACCTTTGGAACCCAGAGCCCATCGCAAGGCTTGGCCCAATGTACGCATCCAAAAATGTTCTCAGAACTGAGCTGAGCCAGGAGGAGGGAAGCAGGCAGGCTTGGGCAGTGAGAAACACTACTGTGGCTCCAGGCTGCTGCAATTCCACCAGCACCAGACCACCCTCTGCAGAGACCACATTCCCTTGCCAGGCAAGTGCAAACAGAACAGTTGGCCCCCTCAAACCTGGAGCTTGTTTTTTTCTCTACTCCATACCTTGTGATCCTACTCTTGGCCTTTTCGGTTTTTCCAGGGATTATCCTACCTGGAAGCTCTCTTGGAGTCTTCAGAAGTCAATCATCTTCCTGCGGATGAACTTTCCAGCAAAGTCTGTCCATGCTCAGCTTTCAAGACTTGGTCAGCATGGACAAGTGTCGCCCTCTCAGAGGGCAGCACTCCACTGTGATGGAACTCAGGCAGCACTGCCTGTGATGCCGGGGGATGGAGGGCCCTCCACGCATTCTCTCATTTTGTTATCATCCCCTTTTACAGATGTGGACACTGAGATCTGTGAAGTAAAGTGACTGATCAAGGTCACATGGTTAGTAAGTATCAGAGTCTCGGCTTGAACCCAGATCTATCTGATTCCAGAATCTACGTGCCTAACCTCTATGTGTTGGGGCCTCTACCGCTCTGCCCATGCCTCTGGAGCACCAGACAGGTCAAGTCTATCCCTGAAAGAACAGCTCTGGGCCTGACACCTTCCTAGTTCATCCAAACATTCTGTCGAACTCAGGCTTGGGAAATCCCCCTGGCCCGGCCCAACCTTATCTGTGGAATAATATAGGAAATCCAAGATAGTGAGAAACCTCCAGGTACAGCATTACCTCTGCCCCCAGCTTGACTGCACTGGATATAAAGCCTCTTTGCTTTTGGCTCGGGCCTCTGATGCCCATGTTGAGGATAGAGATGGAGACAGAGTCATTCATTCATTTAGCAAACGCTACTGTGAACTAGTAATAAATACAGTTCCTGCAGTCATGTAATTTATGATGCAGCAGATGAATAATCAGAAGTGTGCAATGCTATGGGAGCTGTATTCTTTATTACTTTTATTTTTTTTTCTTTTACAATTCCTATCACCTTACCTATAGCACAATGTTCTCCCTTCAAATTAAAACAAATTCACCAATATTTCAGGCCCAATACTGTGGGCCAACCAAGTTTAACAGAGATAACATCACTCAGTACAGAAGTTTTAGCGCCTCAAAAATTGGAACTTAACCAATGCATCCCCAGAACCTCTGCCTCCTGTCTCCTGCCTACTCCCAACCTTTTTAACTCAGGGGGCTGAGATAAGGGCAGGTCTGAAGGCTGAGATGTGGGCTTTTCCTTGGATGCAGGGAAGCTGGGAACCAAGGGGGTTAACTGCATGAAGGGAAACGAGCCTGGGGATGTCTTGAGCCAGGGGCCAAAGCTTCTCACCACCTCACACAAGCCACCCTTACAGGCCACCTCCCTGGAGGGAGAAGAGAAATGAGTTCAGGATGTCACAATCCCCCTTTCTCTGGACAAAGCAGTCACCATGGGATGTCCTGCTGGACCATGACTGTGTCTGGGAGCGTATACGACTCAGCTCTTCAAAGACAAGATCTTGATGCAATGTTAGGGTGAAATGCAGAGAAAATATTTACCTAGTTCCTCACTTAGCAGATTAAAAAAAGAAACTGAATAAATGGAGGCCCAGAGAGAGCAAGGTGCTCGTGAGGGTCACAGAGTGAGTGAGGGGGTTCCAGGTCCGCAGCGCCCCTTTCTGGCTCTTAGCATGCCAGGCACACTCCACCTGCTTACGCAGCAGCTCAGTAGCCTATATTTAATAACCATCTCTTCCTGGGCCACTTTTCCAGGATGCTGCTTGCGGAGGTTGTCTGGGAGATGCAGATGGCCACTTAGCATCAGAGGGAGGAAGAGAAGGAAGGCCCAGATTCATCCCTAAAAATATCTCCATCTCAGACGGAAGCAATGGCCTCCGCAGCACCACGCGCCTCCCTCTGAAGGAACTCCAGCTGGCGCTTGCCGCATTGTCAGCTATCCACCTGACGTGTCCGAGAGGGCTGTGGGGGTGGCAGGCCTGGCTTCCTTTTATTTCCAGCCTAGCTATATGCTTGAAGAAAGGTCAAAGTTGAACTAAATGGATTCCCGATGAGTTTCCGTAGCGAAGCCAGGGTGCCTCTCAAGGTGTCCAAATGGCGGGGAAGAGCATTGCAGTGAGTTCTGGGCCTCTTCCTTACTTCCCAGTGTTCCAGGGAGTGTGGTTCTCACCAGCTTCCCCCCCAAGAGGCCAACAAAGGGCTTTGGGCTTTCAGGAGGAAGTGGAAGGCTCGTATCTAGACAGGGTCCTGTGACCTTGTTAAATGATGAGAAGAGGCTGATTGGCCCCAGGCCACTTCGGGAGCTCTTTGGAGAAGGACTTTCTAAATCATGAAGTGGAAACATTTATACCTCTGGAAGACAGACCTAGTAGTGTGTGAGAAGCAAGGTCCCTGGGGCCTTGTTCTAGTCCCTTATCATCTCCACAGGCCTCAGAATGCACCCTTTGTTCATGGATAAGACATAAACACTCTCAAGGTCGCTAGAAACTCATCAGGCCTACCACATTTTCAGTGGCTTCTCCAGAAGCCGTTTGGGGAAGAAATGGCACCTATTTGGGACTTGCCAAAGTCAGTAATGCCCTCAGAGGCGCCCCAGCACTTTGGGGAATATGTGCATGTTGCCAGCAATGGTGAGAAAGTCGGTGCTGAAGAGCTGAAAGCTGCGGCTACCGGCAGGAGGTGACATCGCAGCCAGACGTACCACCCAGAGCAAACAGAGACAGAGTGCAGAATAGGTGTGCAGAGGACAGGGGAGAAACATTGATCACATATGTAGTCCAGCCCCAGCCCCAGATAGACTGTGGAGATATAGATAGATGGATAGATATACACACATACATACACACACATATTTTTTTTTTTCAAAGACAACTGTGAAATCCAAGGGTGTAATTCTGGTCCCTAGAGACCAAACAGTGACACAAAGCCCAGAGCATACTTATGGCAGACTGGGGCACAGCCTGGGCAGATTACTGTCCAGAAAAACTTGAAGCCTATTCCAGAACTGCTATAATTCAATGGAGCTAGGGAGGCAACTCTCAGCTTGTGCTCCCAAACCCTACACTGCAGCTGGCTACAGGCAAAGATAGGAACACTCTTCTCTGCTCTAGTCCACGGAGGCGACTCACTCAAGGTTATCTATCTATCCACCTATCACATGTCCATCCCAGAATATGTATGGGGCAGTTATTCTAAGACGTATCATAGCCAAGCAGTTACTAGCACAGACTCTGAAGTCAAGATGCCTGACTTTGAATCCCAGTTCTGCCACTTATCTGTGTAGCCTTGAGGAAGCGACTTAACCTCGCTGTGCAGCAGGTTCTTCACCTGTAAAAGGGGAATAGTAACGGGAGGTACATGCATAGAACAGTTTCAGGCACGTGGTAAATGATATGTAAGGGTTTTGTGAGTAAACAAACTTGGGATGATACCAATAAGAGTATAGGGAATTAGAGTCTACAAGAGGCATCAGTCCTTAAGCAACTCCAGCTCAGGCACCTGGCTAGTCCCCAGCATCAGACTTCTGTGTATGTTATCTCTCTCAGCCACATTTCGAGGTAGGTACTATTAATATTTTCATCCACACCTTAGAGATTTGAAAATGGAATCTCAGTGAGGTGAAGCCACTGACCCGGAGTCTCCTAGGAGCCAACATCCAACAGAGTGAATCTGACCGGTTGACTTCCAAGCCGTGCTCTTCTCACTTCCCAATACTGCTCCCCCCAGCTCTGTCCAGGGGGCTGTGGGCCAGCAAGGAGAGATGGCCCATTCTCTAGGGACTGAGGGAGCGAGGGGAAGACATCGTGGAGGAGGCTTCCCTTCAGCTGGGCCATGAGAGAGGAATGGCAGGCAGATGGCGGCAGTGTGGTGAGCGCCCAGGGAACAGCTGAGACACAGAATCAGAGACGAGGTGCTGTGCCAGGAACTGCAGGCTTCCTGCATTCATTCACCGAGCAGGTGCTGGTTGGGTGCCTGCCACGTCCCATGCACCGTTCTGGGTAGAGGGGATGCAGCAGTGACTACAACATGAAAGTAACCCAAGGCAAAGCTAGAGGGAGGCAA